AGCTGGCAGCTCTACGCCTGTCCTTCCCGGGTTTCGGCAAGTTAAAGAATTTGCCTTTCTTTCAGTCCTCCGGGAAGTGGGATGTCCGCAATATCCCATTGTAGAGTCGACCAAGCTCTACAAGGACTCTATTGGGCAGCTGTCGGAGTGCAGCGTTGGTAATCCCATCGTGCCCCGGCGCCTTCCTCGGTTGCAGGCGGGTTACTGTCCTCCGCAGTTCAGCGGGGGAGATGAACCACTCTCCTGCAAGAGGCGGCGCGGGCGACGACAGGAACTCCTGTAAGCGACTTTCTTTCCGGGCATGAAGCTCCATGAACTCCGCACTTGCTGGGTTCGGCATAAATTGCTCCTCGAAGTGCTCGACTAGGATAATCGCTCTGTCCTTGGCATCGTAGCAGCGTTCACCCGCGCTGTTGGTCAGCGGGCAAACGGGAGGTCTGATTTTGGTCAACTGCCGGTTCAGTTTATAGAGCGACGCATCATGCTCATCCGCCTTCCAGATGCGCCGATCCCAGACCTCTCCTCTGAAGGCCTGGACTGCAACCGACAATTCCTCCGACAAGGTGTTGAGTTGCTTTTTCAATCTAGGGCAGCGAGTGCGCGCCCAGAGCTTCCTCAACGCTCTCTTGCGTCTGATCTGCACGCATATCTCTCGCGGCAGATCGTCTCGCCTTGCTGTGATCGGGACGATCGCGCGAGAGAGGCCGCGTGGAGGGCCTCCTGGATGTTCTTGGTAATTCTAGTCGTCCGCTGTGCTTATGGGATGGTGGACTGGAGGTCTCTCCTGCAGATGTTGGCAATAGAGCCTCCAGTCGATACGTGTCTTGAATGCTCTGGGTGGCGTTGTCACCGCCTTTAGGCCAAGGGTTATCAGAATCGGGAGGTGCTGTGAGCTGAGGTCGTACAGCACTTCTACCACTATCGGGTAGTTGAGGTTCCTAGTGAGCACGATATCCAATACATCCGGATGTCTCCGTGGACAAGATGGAACGTGAGTTGGTTCATCGGGACCTAATACGTCATAGCTCTTGTTCTCTGCGTCTTCGTAAAGTTCAAGACCCGACGGGGTGATCACTCTGGACCCCCACGCCAGGTTTTTGGCGTTTAGGTGTCCGGCGACGATGGTGGGTGTTTCGCCCTCCATCACCGTCCGGATGTCTGAGGAGCAGAATGGAGTCCCTGGCGGGCGGTATGCTGCGTAGATCCTTAGTTCTTCGCCCGCCGCTTCCATTCTTATGCCGATAGAGCGCATTGTCTGGTATGATGATAAGTCCAGCTCTTGATGGACGATGTCCCTCCTCACTAGAACCGCCGTCCCTCTGTAGGCGGCCCCTAGAGAGTGACCTCGTCCCTTCTGTACAGATGGTAGTTTGGCAGCTTTATATGCGTTTTTGGATTTAACTTTGTCTCTCCCAGCAATATGACATGTGCGGAGTTCATGCAGCTTCTGCTGTATTCCGTCCGGGTTCCAATAGAGGAGGCGCAGATTACTCTCCTCCGTAATGCCGGGCCAGGAGGTTAGCCAGCGCCTTCATTATCGCGGTAACTGGATCGGTCCCGGCTCTTATATCAGCCAGGACTTGAGTGCCGACCTCGATGGCAATGCCAACCAGTCGTTGGATTGCATCTGCTGCTTCGAGGCCGGCAGTAGGTGGTCTCCTATATGAAGGCGTTGGCACTGGTCTCGGGTGTTGGTAATCCTGCACTCTTGGCTTAGTATGTGTAGAGCGGGCTCTATTTTCAGATAGGGCCCTTTCTGGCACTCTACCCACGCTATTTTTGGTCATCTCCCGAGTAATCTGCGCCTGTGAGGCTACTGGTGCTGTTGGTGTCGGGGTAGAGGTAACAGTCTGAGGAGGCTGCGACTTCTTCCTGCTCCTCTCCCGCCTCCTCCTTTTAGAGGGTTGCCATTCTGTGGCGGGGTTGGCGGGGGGCTGTAGAGTCGCACCGGTGGTTGCCCTTACCTCTACAGGTTCCACCGTTTCCATAGGTGTTTCTATGGTTGCCTCATCTTCCCTGTTACAGTAGCCCACCCGTCCTTATGAATGGTTACTGCTTTTGGGCGACTCTGGGGGATCCTTCTCGGGTCCTCCGGGAGTAGTCCCGGTGGAGTAATTCCCCGCCTCCTTGCGGTCCTCCTCAGGACTGGGCAGCGGCGGTCATTTGCCGTGTGGTTTTTATCACAGTTGGCACACTTGGGTTCCTCATCCCTACCCCGAGGGCAAAAGCTCGCTATATGCTCCCCGGCGCAGCGCACACACTTCACTGGCCAATTGGCGGAGGCGTGCCCGAAGGCCTGGCATCTGTGGCATTGGGCTGGTCCTGCCTTCCTCTGCCAGGCCTCGATGACGACCCCTCTCATGTAGAGGAGTTCGTCGACCTTGTATAGGTCCTGGAGCTACTCCAGGCTTAGGTGATCCAATTGGGCGAAGTAGAGGCAGCCAGGTCTGCCCCTACGTGGTGGGATTGCCTTTACATACTTAATTGCGAAGCCCTTTGCCCTTATAGCCTCCTCTATGATATTGGTATCCGTGCCCGTTAGTAGACCCCGGATGCACACTTTTGTGGGCGTTAGCTACCGTGAGTAAATCTTTGTTTCAGAGAGCACAAGGGATCTGTGACAGAAAACATCTGGCCGCCGAGCTTCAACACGTCAAGCAAGCAATTATATAGAAGCAAATTCTATAGAAAATGTTGCCTATGAAATGATTGAAAATCCATGGAACATAATTATTATTATCTAAAGTCCAAAAGCCATCGCCTAAAAAGCTGTTTTAATTTACTAAGGATAGTTTTATAGTTCATTACAATAGTTGTGCGCGAGTGATAATTTTATTCTATTTTTGTTGACTGACGAGCCTTGTTCCGTTAAATCGATGACTGCCCATTTTTTATGTTTAAAATAATATTATAACCCATAAAAATTTTTAGGGTGTAGTAAATAAGTTATTTCTTTTTTGCCCATTATTGCGGCCAACTGACCAGCTCCGTTCCCATATTTAGCTGACTGAAAGTGGTATAATAATATTCAGCCTTAGTAAATTAATTTTACTAACTCGGCAGGTACGACACCTTTGACAGTGCACCAGAGTCACCTGTTCTCAGTTTCGCTTGACTGATCACAGTATGTTTGTGTACTCAACCATTGTAATGAACTACAAAAAAATCCAGTCTTGGAAAATTCAAACAGGTTTTTAGGCGCTGGTCTCTTAAACAAAGTCTCCATCTATTATACTATTTTAATTTAATTTTACTTTTACGTTTTAGTGGTCTCCAGATAATAGTTTTGCATAATATAATTGTTATCTCTGTAGCCTATAAATCTTTGCACTTGTTTAAGCACCAACGGAGTTGACGTCGGCTGAAATCACTGCGGTCGCTGTTTTGTCAAGGTCATTCAGGCTTCGTTAAGCCTTAAAGCTATACTTTGTTTACGTAAGCATAAAGTTATAACACAGCTAAAATTTTGACGAACAGATTCCACAAATTCGACAGGTTTTTGACTTCCACTGTCGAATTTTAATTAGTATATTGCCGCAGTATATTTAAAACTTTAATTAGTATATTGCCAGTAAGAAACTTAGCATTCATTTTTAATACATTCGAACAAAAAAAAAACTTTGATTAATTTAATAAAGTAATATAACAGAACTAAAGTGAGTATAGAGATCCGGAGACCATTTTTTACTGGAAACGAGGCATTCCATCTTAGTCCTCGGGTGTGACGACACATCTGCATTTTGATTCTTAATCGAGGATAAATGTAGATGTCTGTGGGCCTCAGCATCCACTTACCATCAGGTGGACTGTGTGCTCGTTTGTCACCTTCATTCTATAAGAAAGTTTTTTTTATTATTACCTTTGGTAAAATGACTGTTGGACGTAAAATTCCAATTGTTAAGGCAAAAATGTATTAGGCTCCAGTAAATACTGAATTTTTTTTCTATTCTTTTGAATCCGAAAAGTATGTGATTGTTAATGGCATATTGATTACATCATATAATCTAAGTACAGCTGCTGGTAATTAATGCTAATGACGCTTAAAAAAAATACTCCAATCCGAAGAAATATTTATTACATATATAGGATCATCAAAATTGTTTGTACAGTAGGTAATTTCAAATAACACGGACAAGTTATGTACAATATCCAACGACGAGTACCATCCATTCATTCATTCCATTCATTCGATTTTACAGTTACATTTTATATTTACACAGAATAACAAATTTTAGAATTAGACAATATTTATCTTAATATTCAAGTATACAGATCGTACGTTATTACTAAATTCTTACTAATATCTATGACATTACATCAAATAAAATTAAAATGTGATTATGCCATAGAAAATCTATAGTATTTACAAAGCTAACTTAGGCCCTATAATATCAATTAATTATTATTAAATTACGGGCAATAATTTTCATGCAATTCTGCATTTTATTTTTTTAATTCAATGTATTTTAATTTGTCACTTCGTCACGTAGATGCTAATGACATTAACTGGACAAAGTGAGTGCTAATAACTTTAATATCTCTCGCAAATCGATTGCTATTTGGGTTACCAAATAGTAATTTAGTAAAACGCAGATATCAAATGAATAATAATTGAACTGTTCAAAAGTAAATTCGAGGTTTCAGTTGTTTGAATTATTAAAAATGGCATTCCAAATCGTTATTTTTTGATCAGAAAATTATTTTTATTTCAAATAATTATTATTATTTTAAATAATTATTTTCCGACCAGCACACACGTAATTAACAGTACATTTTAACGAAATTAATTAATTTTTCTAAGTACTAGGTATATTGGTTTTGAGGTCCTACATTATCAAAAACAATTTTAAATATTCATTTCTAAATTTCAAAGAAAGGTCGGTAGTTAGTAGTGCTACTGTTAAATCGCACATGGAGCATGACATCTAATAGAAACGGCAAAAAGTTACACTTGCCAACTTACTTTACAAGTACCAAATTCTTAGTTACCGCTCGCTTAATCATCGCAGGCCGAAATGAACCATCACTGAAGAAAGCAACAAAAGGCAGGTGACGCAAGATCGCCGCCATCTTGTTGCCTGAAATTTCACAAAATGAATGTTATTTTCCACGCAATGAGAATTATGTCATTATCATGCATCTCATTTATAATTTTAAAATAGTTTGGAAAATCCAAAAGTGCACACCTTATAATCTCATTTGATTATATAAAAAGAAAAATATCTCTTTTTCCATATTTGAGACAAAAGAAGAGATCCAGGAGAATATTTTTTTGTAAAAAAGTACCGGTTGTTTTTTACATTTTCTTTAATTACAATTAAAAGTAACCAAATAACTCAGTGATTTTTAAAGTGAACCTGTGCGTTGAGATTCTACACCTAATAAAAAAGAATTATTTTGATTATATTAATTCAAACGATCCTTAATCGTGCGCCATCCACACATACAGACATCCGGATACTCTCGACAATTTTTTTTCAGTCAGCTTGTTTTTACACAGAAAATTACTTTAAAAAAAACAGATACATGAAAACGAGTGATTTTTCTCGATATATGTTTATTTTTATTATAAAAAGTGCAAAAGTAAAAAAATAAAGACATTTTTAGCTCAGAAAATTACTGGATTTTCATTGGGTGAGAGTAAAGCACAACCTCAACGCTTCGCTTATGAGGCGTGCAATAATCTATTTAAAAGTTAAGTTATTGAAGGAATATACAACGCCTTCCCCATAGTTTGTGCCTGTGTGCTTTATAAAGTCGTCACTTCATCTAGTGGAGAGAGGTGGGAAGGAGTTGGCGCTAAATATTGCGCTTGGCAGTACGGGGCTGCCACTCAGAGCCTTTCTTCCCCATTGGTAGTCTAAATACTAGCAAGGAAGATATACAATTAAACTTTATATTAATTACACTAATTCTGTTATTTAGCTGTCACTTATATTGTGAAATAGGACGAAGGACACTTTATAACAATTATTGGTAAAGTGTAATTTACGCCAAGAGCAGAGGATACAATAAAGATTTTGATAACATTTAAAAAAATAAATTTTATTTTGGATAGACATTTACTTTCACGATGAAAGGAATAAAGTCCTTACATCAACGAAACCGCGTTATACTTTCGTATATTTTTCACCTTTCAATTTAATTAAAGGCCGGTATTGGAAAGAAATTCACTTTACAAAAATCATTACGTGGATTTCTATTTGCATGCATAATTTCGCTGTCTTCGGAACACTGCATTATAAATTAAATTTAATAATAATTATCGCAGTTTCATTTTCATATCTTTAAAAATAGGTATTATGTATTATGTTATATAATAAGTTTGTATCATAAAAGTTTTATTTATGTATCTCATTCCATTAGTTTTTGTGTTTTATGTTTGTTCATTTAATCTGTAATCGGGTAGTTACCAGGTGTAGTGGTGTCTTAAAGTAGAACTTTTCAACGGTCGATATTTTTAACAAAGCGAGTCCGTTAATTTATGTTTAACGGCTAATATTTAACAGCTCGGAAGCGCAGTTTCTAAGCTTTTGGATATGCCGCTACGGGTCGCAGTTCCAGTCCGACACGGCAACACTATTTGTATGGCCTAATAATAATTGTTCCGGATCACAATATCATCTATAATGCCCCCACAACTTAGGAGATGGATTTTTGATTATGGATGATGGATGGTGGATTAATATAACTAAGCAACAATCAAAATTATGGCTTGTAAATTATAGTGTACATTAAGCTTCCAATATTGCACACAAGGTGCTTAACTAATACTTTTAATAACCTAATGAATCGCGCAATGATATTTAGTACGGTTGAAATGTTAACCAAACGATATTGAAGGCAATTTTAAAATTGTACTCATATCACTAATGACACAGACCATATTTGGTCATTAAGAGTTTCTTCCCATCACAATTACATCTTCAAATACTTTACTGTCATAGTTGCCACGTTTAGTAGACGATTTGGTAACCGCAGTTTTGTATTTGTATTGGGCAGTTATCAAGACGATGCTGTTGCCTATATCCTGTTTCAGATTCCCTCCGTGGCCTCTTATGACTCCCACGGTTTGATAAGGAATAGTTGATTTTTTTATGTTGCCACTACATGGTACATTGACTGTATTGGTAATTCAGTATCTTCTATTTAAAAAAGAGTAATATTTTTTTAATTATTAAAAAAGAGTAATACTTTTTGAAATTATTATATAATATTAACACATTAATACTACTAATATAATCTTGTTACACTTACACTAATTAAGCATTAAATGCTTGTGATATGAGTTGTTTGTAATAGCAGTTGAATGTGGATTCGTACCGTTGACCTGTAGCTTCGCAATTAGCATCGTTAACGTAGGGCCGGAAGGAATAAGGACTGTTAATGACGGAAATATCGGTATCGAGATTGAACCTTTTATTTTTGTTTTTATTATGTATTGAAATTTTAACAATGTTTACTACTGTCGTGTTTACGCTACAGTCGTTGGTCAGCGAGCGAGCGAATTTATTGCCCCCATAGCAATAGTCGTTAACCCGTTATAGTGAGAATAACATTAGTGACCAATAAAAGATACGAATGATCTCATCGCTATAGCAATAATAGCTTTTATGCGTCCAATTTCAGACTACATACTCCCGAATTCCGTTGTATACAGCCAATATATTATAATGGAAACATTCACTTGGGATCACAGAGTTTTGGTACTAGAAAAAAGTGTGAAACTGGACAGTTGAATGACTCCGTTTAACACGATAACTGCGAAACGAGGCTTGAAACACATCGTCCGTGTCTCGTCTTTATGTCGGTAAGGAAAAACTTAAACTTCTCTGTCGTGCGCGAGGCGTATCTTCCGTCTGGTTCAGTCTAGGAAAGAGATAACTATATATCTGAGATGTGCTATTGACGCAGAGTTTTTTGGTATACCTAACTTAATACCGGATTTTTTAGGCCTCGTACCACACTGAATAAATAAAAGTTTAATACAGTGCGTTACGAGGTTGCGAACATCTCGAACCCCCGCACACCTCGTACCGCACCCTACGCTAGCTTTACGCGGTTAGTGTTGTGCAAAATGTTGAACGCTGCGCCCGCGACCATATAATAAGATGTCGTAACGTTGCCGAAGAAAGTTAATTAATAATATTATTGATGATGAAGAGAAATTGAGTGATAACTCTAATTCTAAATTACTAATTCTAATTCTAATTACTACTCAATATTTGAAAAGCAGGTAAGTTTCCAATCAATATTTACAAAGTATACTCAGTCTAATTGAAATAATTATGTAGGAATATAACAAATAAATTCAATTGACAAAAGCAAAACACACACCGGCCGTAACGATCCCATACTTAGGTATAGAAATGCTCCAATAAATCGCTACACCTAATCAGCCCGCTTCAAAAATACACTATAAGTTTTTTTTTATTTTCTGAACCTGCTCCAAACAATCCACATCATCTCGAAAAAGGATCAAACAAGAGGAGATGTGTAGGATGCTACGAAAAACTTCGCACATTCTTATCAAGTCGTGAGGCTGACAAAAAAACAAAGAAAATTCTCACAGAATGTATCGGTTGCAAAAATGTTTGACCTGTTTTAATAAAAAGCATCCGTAAGTACAATTAAATAAAATCGATATTTTTTCCCATCACTAAACAATATGAAAAACTACCCTTTTTCAGTGCGGTATGGGATACATAAGACCCCACATTTTATTTTACCTATAAAATCTAAACTAAATAATCTGCCTGCAGGCGGCGGCACATTTAGGTTGATCAACTCATTGATAATAATAATCGCGACGAATTATTTGGCGCCAAAAAACGTATTTTAGTCCCATGGGCGGTGGGGTTTACTAAGCCTCGTGCCGCTACAACCTCTGGTTCAGAACGAGTTTCCAAACGTCTCGTAACGCAGTAATGGAAAGTACAGATAAATCAGTGCCGCTGGGAACGTGTTAATTGTAATTTTTGTCCCTTATAGTTTCGTTATAACGTGTTATAATCTACTATTATATAATATTGTAATATATATGAAAATGGGCATTTAAATAAAAATCATTCTTACTCAATTTACTTATATTAAGTATGTTAAATAAAATAAAACTCTGCTCAGTAACGCTCCTCGTAATAATATCTACGTCTTATGTTTTTACCTCCGTTCTATCTTATGCGTAGAGCATAGTAATAAAACAGGAAGTCCCTTTTTAACGTAATCATCATGTATTATATTATTATATTATACAACGTAAATTCATCACCATGTATTATTTGTCTATAACCAGCTATTTCTCATTCTCTCTTACCTTTGTTCGCTTATATTTTATCTATCACCAATGTTACATTTCATCGTTTCATATTCCGTTCCTACATATATTATATTGTAAGTATATTAAATTTAAGATACCTACAGTAAGGTAACAAATGAAGTAATATCGTAGAATATCCTAAGTGTAATAGGAAAAATGCTTTGAATTTACCCCGATATATGATTTATTTAGTAATTTAATAACTTAAAATAAGTGTTGTGAAATAAGTACAAGTGTTTATACAAATTACAAATAAAAGTGCTGCCTTCTCATATCACGATCTTTTATTTCTTTCTCATAAAATAAGACTACCTAAAGCCAAATCAAGGATACTTCTGCAGCGTAATTTTGTGGAAATGGATTTGGACAAATTACGAGAAGATGCTGTGAACACGGATTGGAGGGCTGTAACAAACAATTGTACTGTTGACGAGCAGGTAGCAGTATTTAACTCGCTCCTTATTAAGATTTACGATGTACATGCTCCTGTTCGTCCAGTTCGTGTACGCCATCCTCCAGCCCCATGGTTAACCAAAGACCTTAAGAAACTTATAGCGAAAAAGAATGCTGCAAAGACCAGACATAAGTCAGATCCTACAAATGACATGATTCCGGAAAAGTACAGGATCCTACGTAATCAATGCAACAAGTTGTGTAGAGACAGACTTACGACGACGCCACATCCATATATCTGTTCAAAACGAAGATCCAAGCCATGTTTGGAAATTCCTAAGGTCTATTGGAGTTGGAAAATCACATTCAAGCTCGATTCAAAATGATATAGATTTAAATTTGCTTAATCAGCACTTTTCTTCTGCTACTTGCACCGATAATGTTGCAAAGTCAACTACAACTCAACTTTCATCATTACCCACTCCTGACTATCCTCCATTTGTGTTTAGGCAATTTGTAGATTGTGATGTTAGGAGAAACATACTCTCTATCCATTCTGACGCTGTCGGAAGTGATGATATCAGTCGTAAAATGATTATTCCCTTACTTGATATATTAACACCTATTATTACCTTTATCCTAAATTTTTCTATATCCACATCCTCCTTCCCTTCCCAATGGAAATATGCCCAAATCATTCCTTTGCCCAAAAAAGCTAATCCTTCGAGTTATTCTGAGTATCGTCCCGTTTAAATTCTTTCTTTTCGGTCCAAAGTCCTAGAACGTCTTGTCCAACAACAATTAAATTCATTTTGTACAAGAAATGATATCTCAATTCATATCAATCCGGATTTAGGCCGGGACACAGTACGACCACAGCATTATTAAAAATCACTGACGCGATAAGTTTCGGAATGGATAGCCGCCAAGTCGCAGTGATGGTGTTGCTGGATTTCAGCAATGCCTTCAATGACGTAAATCATGATATACTAATTGGTGAACTGCGTTGTCTTAACATATCTCCAACTGCAATTGCCTGGTTTCGTAGTTACTTATAAATAAATTACGTCCACGTTTTCGGGTACAAGACAGAATGTCTTCGTGGCTTGATACCGTTGCTGGCGTTCCACAAGGTAGCGTGTTATCTCCTATCTTATTTGCACTCTTCATAAATTATATTACCTCCAGAATATCTTCTCTCTACCACTTGTATGCTGATGATCTCCAGATATATCTACAAAAAACCGTAGAGGATCTGCCAAAAGCAATTTGTGATATAAACAGGGACTTAGCGTGTATTCTGTACTGGAGTCGATCTTATGGGTTAACTGTTAATTCGATAAAATCCCAAGCTATTATTATTGGTAGTTCAAGAATAATCTCCAAATTAAATAAAACTGAGTTAAACCCTATAACATTTAACGGTGTTCAAATTTCTTATAAGGATGTAGTGAAAAACTTGGGAATCATGATAGATTCTAGCCTTTCTTGGTCTCCTCAAATCAACGCAGTGTCTCGTAAAATGTTTGCAGCTTATAGTTCACTCCGAAGAATGAATTACTTCTTACCCATCTCCACCAAAATTATGCTTGCCCAATCTTTACTGCTCCCCATTCTCGATTATGCTGACATAAGCTATCTAGACATTACCGAAGAGCAACTTAACAAACTTGAGCGACTCCAAAATCTATGTATAAGGTTCATATTTGGACGTCGTAAATATGACCACGTATCAGAATATCGCACTAAGCTCAAGTGGCTTCCAATCCGTCTTCGTCGGAATACTCATATCCTTTCTGCTTTCTGCTGCGTTTTATTTAATATATCAAGTCCTCCCTACTCCTCTCACAAACTTTCCTTTCGATCCTTAGAAAACCTTTCCCTTCTATGTCCCTTGCACTCTTTTACATTTTACAGTAAATCTTTTTCATTCCTTGATATTAAGCTTTCGAATTCCTTACCATCAACTATAAAACGTGCTCAAACAATAGACTCCTTTAAAAACCAAGTTAAAAACATTATATTTCCTTCTAAATCATCCCTCCTCCTTTTATCTATTCCTGTCGTTTTATGATCAATAGTCTGTCAATTGAGTAAATTCCGGCATGTTTATTAAATTTCTTTTATATTTATAGATTACAATATTATTTATAGTGCACTCTACCCATTACCTAACTTTTTACTTATTTTTGTCTGGAAGAAATTGCTGCATAGCAATAAAACCGCCTTTTGTTTTTCTCTTTGTTTGTTTCTTTTATGTTGTTTTTTTTAGTGTTCAATAAAGGGTATTGTATTGTAAGTGCTTTGCCCTACGGTGACACATTAAAAGGTGGAAAACATGGATATTAGCAGTTTACAGGCACGTGCTTTATTGAAATAATTTTATCCGGTGGAAAAGTTCTATTCTTTTTGAATATCTGTGTAGGATCAGCCTATATTGTTGTAAGGAAGCAATGCGTCACTTTAGTGTTCTAGGTAGAAGGATGAAAAGAACGAACATAATAACAGGCTGTGAGATATTTAATATAAATCCTTACAGGTGATAATGCATCGTTAGTTTATTAATTTGGAGAAAGTTGCCGATGTCAATAGATTAAAGTAGCTACTTGCGATGAAATAGCCTGTTAGCTGATTAGTTCGATTGTCATTTGTCATAATGTTTATAAAAAAGTTAACTCACCTTTTCGAGGATACAGATGAGATGAATAACGCTGCCGAGGTCATCATGGTGCTCCCCAGAGCCCAAAATAAAGGCTTCAGGCACCACAATTTTGGAGTCGTACATAGTGGGATACGATGCCAGTACGGGTAGATACCTGGAATTAATGGCAATTGTTAATGTATTTGTCCTATTAATAAGACAAACCGTTATGATTTCATCTCGGGTGTGCGAGATTTACAAGAAATCTTAATTGCCCGGTTACTATATTTCTAAAACATTTAACATTTACGATGAAGGGGAAAAAGTAAAAAAGAATGATTTCAATAAAGTCTGTATTCGTAAGTATTTAAACCAGTATTTTGTTGAAGGGTTTTTATTTTTATGCAACTTATAGCGTTCAATTTACGTATTTTTATATTCCCGGTACGAAATCCAAGTATGCGATACCTTCAAGATATTGTAAATTCGTTCTGCGTTGATCGGACTAAACATTAATAATTCAAAGCTGAAGAGGTTACAAAGAAGAAGGCTACAGATGTGTTGTCACATCTTAGGACTAATATGGAATGCTGCACGTCGTGTTTATATAAATTATTCTGGCTATTTACCCTTCAGACCGGGACTCAGAAGTGCATGCATAGCTGCTTAGCAGTAGAAACGGGTAAGAAGCTGGCACTACGCAGACGGCCAGAAAAAGAGTCCCAGTACATTTTAAAATTTGCATTACCATCAGTTTTTTTTGGCACAGGAGTTTTCTATTGGATATGAACCCCTCTTTTTTTTTGTAATCGCTACGTAGTCGCATGAGCGATCGCAGTTTTTATTAAATTTTAGCAGCATTTCGTAATATAATTGGTATAAAAGAAATGGAAACAACACTATACCGGAAGTTATTGGATCTTATCGGCTGTAACTATAGCCACCACTGAAGATGGATTTTAACGCATCCGTCCATTTATATTTTTGTAAATAGAATTATGACAAACGGGCACACAGTCCACCTAATGGTAAGTGGATACTGTGGCCCATAGCTATATTCATATAACCTCGATTAAGTATTAAAATGCAGATGGCTTGTTACCTCTAAGGACTCCGACGGAATGCCTCAATTCCAGTAAAACGGGTCTCTGGTTCTCTACACTCACCATACGAAACACAGCAGCATCAAGCTGATATTTTAAGCTGGTTTCCTGTGAGAGCGTGGTCCTTCCCCGGTCGAGCCGACTCTTCCGTGCTACAACCATAATATAGCTGCAGCGTGGCTCTACCACGTTTAATACCTATAAGGAGATTTTTTAATAGAATAAGGGTGACAACGAGCACACAATCCACCTTATGGTAAGTGGACGCTGTGACCCGTTGACATCTATGTTCATCCTTGTTTAAGAATCAAAATGCAGATGCGTTGTCACTCCTGGGGACGAAGATGGAATACGTCGTTGCTAGTAAAAAGGGTTTTTGGTTCTCCACACTTACCATATGAAACACGGCAATATTAAACTGCTATTTTATGCTGGTATTTCTACTTAAAATGAACTGTGAACGCTGTGTTGTACGATCGTCAATTCTTTCAAGGTACAAAATCGTCGTTAGAGGTTAAGCTTTCTCATATTGAATACATTTAGCTATTCTTCTTATATTATTTAAGTGTTCATATCCTATACCTTTAAATGAGCAATTCTTGTATATATATATATATATATATATATATATATATATATAAATATATATATATATAATTGGAATCTCTGAAACGGCTCCAACGATTTTCATAAAATTTAGTGTACAGGGAGTTTCGGGGGCAATACATCGATCTAACTAGGATTTATTTTTAGAAAACGTTTTTTTGTCCGTGTTTTCAGGCAATGATAAACTGCGTTACACACTATGTTAATCTCGTATAGCTCAAGTGGATATCGAGCGGTCGCGAAATCGTAACGCCTTGGTTCGCGTCCTGTCTTCGGTCCGACTTTTTTCCTTTTTTTTTCAAGTTCCTTCTTTTGTGAGAAAATCTATTATTGCGAGCCCTTTTTTAAAAATACGAAAATTTTAATTAAATTAATTGCACTCATGATTTTTTATTCAAATAACCAGTTCAGTTTTTTCTATTATGTCAATAAGATCAAAAAATATTATTAATGTTTCATCAGTATGTAATTTGTATCTAAATGTAATTTCAAAAAAAAAACCGAGCAAAGTTCGTACAACCAGGTACTTATCTGTAAAGTTAATAGTTATCTCATGACAAAAATATCAATTTTTTCCATTTCAGTTTCAGTTTTCCTGTAGTCTCTTACGACACCTACGGGACGATTGCGGGCAGTGAATATTCTTAAACCCCTACTCTATGGTTAATTTATTATTTTTTATAGTAGAAATATTATTTAGTAGTATTATTTGTATTTAAACGATTAAATGACATATTCACCTTTTTTGTGTAAAAACTGTTGTTCGCAAAGAATCAAGAAAACATAGGTGTAATTTGTTATACACTTAATAATTATAATATTATAGTTTTCTTATGCTTAATATATAAATCTCTCTTGACATACCATTGCATGTATGAAGATTTTTTTACAAATTTTACATAGGAAATTATGTAGATGTTTTCAGAACACAAAAAAATCAGAAACTAATAGAAAGTAATTAATTTCAAATACGGAAAAAAAAGTGACGCTGCATGCTTTTGTTTCATGTAGAAATGAACTGACGGAATTTTTTGTACTTGAACTATGTGTTATATGTTCTATAACTGTGCATTGTTTTATATGTTCTTCCAATATATAAAACAATGTCAGATATTCCTATGAACTATATTTTACACGCTTTTGACTAGCGTTTTCTATATATATATATATGTATATATATATATATATATATATATATATAATATATATATATATAATGATGTATTTAATAAATAATTTTATACTTAATTGATGAACTCCGTTATGTGACAAACACATTCCGGTACTTTTTCTATCCCAAATATAGTTAAACAGTGAATCTCGGTAAATTTGAGAGTATTGTTCAAGTAATAATAACGTAACCATGTATTTGCTTCACATTTAACCTATACAATAACATGTGCATCATAACAATGTTCTCGTTCATTCAACGGTTAACATTTGGTTTAATAGAGTATACTCTAATAAGTAAAATACGATTTAACTTCAACATACTGTATGCATGAACAGAAAATTATAGAAGCGTACAAAACATTGTTTTATTTACATAGGATAAAGTGGCAAACAAACAAACAGTCCACTTGATGGTAAGCGGTTGCTGGGGCCCATAGACATCAACCTCTATCCTCAAACACAAATCAAAATGTAGATGCGTTGTCACCCGTGGTGACTAAGATGAAATGCCTCGTTTCTAGCAATAAGAGTCTACGGTTCTCTACATTCACCATACGAAACACAGCAGCGTCAAGCTGCTATTTTACGCTGGTATTCCGTGAGAGCATGGTCTTTCCACGGTCGAGCCGACCCATTCGTGCTACAACTAAATTACTTATACAGACGCTGCATGGCTCCACCACATATAAAATTTCTACCACGTATAAAATTGTATACCATAATCGTGCAAAACTTGCATATGTCAGTTCATAAGAAATCTACTGCTGGACAAGTGCCTAAGTAGAGAGCAGTGGATCAAGGCTTCAGATTCACGCGGTATAGGTCTAAGGCGGCAGTAGTTAAGGAGCAGCTAAATTTGAAATTCGAAGATTCTCCGGGATATTTGTTTGCTATAACAATATATTTTAATATCCAGAATTCTTTAATACAATATAAATAAGCAGCTAATTAGCTCATTTTTCTACGTCTCTACTTATACAAATATACTCATGAAACTAAAATTACTCTATACAGTAATCTGTTCCCCTTAAGTGTTCAGAATCAGTATTTAAACGTATAGAAATTACTTCACTTCAGAAAATTAAGATACAAAAAAATCAAATTGAATTAGAATGAATTTTTAATTTGCAAATTGTATGTGGGTTTATTATCTCTGTATTGGCCTGGGAGTGAGAGTATTGTCAAAAATACCAATTATTCGATGCACGTGTCGGTTAGTTCAGATGTGAATAACATTTTTTCACGAGATTTAATTTAGTAAGTTACACACAGTTCACTGTCATAAATACCATGTATATATTTACATCTATAAGATCCTAAAAAATCACTGGGTTTTTGTTACATACCGTTTATCGGGATTGTTTAGCTTTCTAGATAAAGTATTTTGAGTATCTGATTAACAGTTTTAGAGACAACCTCTTAAAAACAAACATACAAACAAACATCTAAGTTTTATATGTTTAGATATACTAAACATATAAAACTACATCTTTATAAATAATATTAGTATACACTTGTAGACAGAACTCTTTCGTAGAAAGAAATAAATTTTCCATTTTATAACGACGAATTTATTTCATTCATAGCATTTAATCTCCACACCTTAAAGAACGAAGTATTAAAAACATGTCATGAGAAACGTGTGTCACAAAGTAGCTTCACAATTCGTGCGGGATCGTAAAAATTTTATTAACTCGTAAAGTCGGATCGTACAAAATAGGACTTAATCTCCGTTCTATTCTTATTTTGCGTATACATGAATTATTTTTATGAATTTTATTACTAAGATTTCATTGCTTTAAATTTTCTCTTATTGATTTGTACATGTTACAGTTCAGTATCATTATGTCATTAGCAAAACATTCTTCGAACTTAAAGAAGTGGATGTTATTCTCGTAGACACTGAACTACATCGATCCTCGATTGAATATCAAAATGCAGATGCATTGTCATCACTGAGAACCAAGATGGAATGCATAGTGAAAAAGGTTCTCTACACTCACCATAAAGAAACAAGAGCATTAAGCTGATATTCTGTAAGAGTGCTACAATCATAATATAGCTGCAGCATGGCTCTACCACGTAAAAAATACTAGAAACAATTTTGAACTGCAAACAAAGAACGTACCTTGGTCTACTAGTGCTCTGGGCACTAAGGTGGCCGTTATGAAACTCGCTCTCTATACATACCTTTTAGATCAGAATATATAAATGAATATACTAGTACCTGACTACAGAAATATTTGTAAAGACAAAACAGGGTGTTATCTATCTGGTCCCAAGAGCCACCTATGTGACGTGCTTGAAACTGCAATAACTTTTTCATATGTCATGCGTGGCAAATTTCCCAGTTTCAGGAATGACTTGACTGATTGATATAGACTTTTACAATGCAAATTACTTGCTGCGCGTACTATAAACGACCCTTTTTTTTTGCATGGGGATGCCTACGCATACCCGCCTCGCGGGGGCATGGACGGGTTATGTCGGACTCGCACCGACTAAAACCCCATGGTGTTCCACCTTTGTCGCATATTGGCAGGGCTACGGGAACGCTTTCGCACACATCCGCGGCCCTACTAGCGCCTGCCGCCCCATGGCAGCACCTCCTCGGGAGAGGAAAATTCCTCCCCGTTCTCCTTCCCAGGTAAGGCGCACCAGAACACATGGCGCGCTTTCCTCCACGGCCTCCAACTACGTCTGTGCAACAGACGCCCCCGCGTCCGATGCACAAAGGCCATGGGGCAGGAAAAACACACTTAAACCCCCAAGCCCCCACCCCCCCCGCCCCCCACCACCCCCCCAGCATACCAACACTCCTCTTCCTCCGCGACTCCACCTCGACTGCAGCGGTAGAGGGTGCGCGAGTCCCCACTCGCTGCAGTCCACCAGCACACATCCGAAGTGGGCTCCCCAAGCCCACTCGGAGCGGCCACCTCAGGCCGGCCCTTCACCTCGGGCCAGCCACGTGGGTTCCTCTTTGTTCACCGTGGGAGACCAAGCCACGGCTACTAAGCCCCCCGCCACGACAAGGCGGGAACCCGTTCGGGGGGGGACTATAAACGACACTGCAAATAACGTTTTGCACATTCCAAGTTCCGAAATTGAAAAGTATTCTGTGCTTCTATATCAAGAGTGCTTCGTTGGTAATACTATTAACAACGACGTACTGGCAACTTTGGGCCTATGTTCGATACCGTGCAACTCAAGATCTAATAATGAAATATAACACTAAGACTGCAGCGTTTTTAACATGCTTTCCACTAGTCTGTGGCTAATAAAGTTTGTTTACAGAAAAATGTTTACAGCTACAGAGCAGCATAAATTTACAAATAAAAATATATTTTATTTATGAATTTTATTGTTATAGTTTTCTTGTTAGTTAATGAATTGTTAACTTATAATCACACTTACTTATATTGTGTAAATATATATAAGGTATATTATTGAGGATCTTCAAAATAAACAACAAATTGTTTCTCTGAAAATACAAAGTTTTGTTTTATTTAACACGTCTTTCCAATATTACAACAATTATCAAGTTATGACAATTACACTTCTATCTCACCTGAAAATACAAAAAAACGACATTTAAAGTTTACTAATATTGCTTCCTCAATCGTATCCTTCGGTTTATCTCTCTACAAGTTTTTATAACAATAAAATGCACAAAATAATCTAAACGTCATCCGCCATTGAATCATAGTTTACACATCACTTCGATGCGCCCTCTACCATCTTCCACAGACAACATAGATACGCGAAGCGCAGCAAATTCAAATTAATGAAATATCATTCATTTCATTACATCTCCCCCCCTAAGAGCGAAAATTCTAAGCAATATATCTATACAATGTACCTATAAGTTATCTTCATATTCGTTTTCTTCTCCTTCATCTTCTTCTGTTACGACAGGTTCTAATTTTGTTATGTGAAATAATGTTGATTCTGCTTTTCTGTTGCCTGTATCAAGCCTATAAATTGAATTCGATATTTTCTCTATTATCTTGAAAGGACCTATTTTTAATTCGTCTAATATCTTTCTATTCAGTCTATTTCCATTTTCTAAATATACACTGTCTCCTACATTAAACTCTTGCATTTTTCTATTTCTATCAAATATTTTCTTGTTGTACTCATGGGATTTTATTGTATTCTCTAATGCCAATCTTCTATCAGCCATCCACTTGTCTTCCTTTTCTATTGTTTTAAATTCGTTTGGTAGAATACTGACATTTGTACCATCCAGTAAATATTTTGGTGCAAAACCTGTAACGGAGTGTTCTGTTTCATTATATTTCTGTATACATTCTCTTGCTAGTGTTGTTCACGTTCTCTTATTATTTTTCTCATTCATTTTACACCTTATTTTATTTACTATTGTCTGATTTAATCTTTCATTCAAGCCGTTCGAGAATGGTGTATTCACAGCTGTAAAAATTAGTTTAATATTATTCTCCTGTAAATATTGCTTAAATTCTCTTGAATTGATGCCCGGATATTGATCTGTCAGGATAATTCCAATCTCATCTGTCTCTAGTACTTTCTTTGTTAGATTTATAAAGTCACTTGCATTCTGAGTTTTTGAAGTCGCAATAAATGCATATCTTGTGTAGTGGTCTACTAAAAGATGTAGGTATTTCTTTGTAGACCTAGATCCTCCAAAGCCACCGATAGTATCCATTGACATTATCTCAAA